ATTGGTTGGTGAGCTTTGCTTTATTTTATTTTTTTTTGCTGTGTTATCTCTTAATATACTTTCCTTGGATGCTTAAAGGGATGATAAAATGAGTGCGAATGTGATTCTTGAACGCTGAACCATGCGAATATAATGTGTGGAAGAAAAGAGAAAAAGAAGGGTATGTATGAAAAAGTTGAATTTTCAATTTTTTAGAAATACATTTAAAACGAATTTGTTGATCGACAATCTTAACTTTTTCAATGAAATCTCAAATGTTTTTATTGGAAAATTTTTTGTGCTACGTAGTGCTTTCAGGCACGGCACGACATTTTAATATGGGTCCTTACGCTTCAATTTTTAATATGGAAGCATGAGATCCTGCTTTAGAACTGTTATTAAAGATACTCAAGACATGTGTAGCCGACATGCTCATAATGGTACATATTGTCTTTATAAATGATTCATTCATTTGTTGGATGCACATGCCTAATATTTTCTCTATTAGTTCCATGGCCGAATGTTGATTTACTAGAAGTGATGAAGACCAAAATGTGCCTAAACACGACATGGAGGCCTCGAATTCAGGTTCAACTGTGAGTAATCCTCAAGTTGGTTGTGTTTTTTCTTTATTTCATTTTTTTCCCTTTCTTTTCATTTTCTAAGTTAGTTCCTTTGTTTTTTTTTCTTCAATTTACTGCTGCATATTTAATGTCTTCGAGCCCTTTTTTTATTTGGAAGGGATTCACCAAGTCACTTGGTATGACTATGCCACGGATTTCGAATATAAGATGCTTTTTGCTGCCGCGGTCAGTTGATAAAATTACTAGCCCTTTAGGTGTAAAATATATGTATTGGGTATACAAGCTGAAATTTTTATGGGATCCTCCTATTTATGGTAAAATATATAGTAGGCAGTATTAGGAATACTGAAATGAAACTGAGTTTTGAATTTGGTAGTTGAGATAGTCATGTTTTCAAAATGATAAAAGGGAAAGTGGGGTTCTAGATTTAGTGTTGCTCTTCAGTTTTGATTGTAATTATGTATTTTTACCACTTCTAAATTGAATTTCTTGGTTATGGACCTATTTTCAAGCAAGATCTCTCATTTTTGTACGTATTGTTAGAAATTTTCTTGACCATTCTTTCATTTGAGTTTTTACTGGCCACCTCCCCCACCAAACTTGAAATTACAACTAATCATAAACCAAATGACAAATTTTGGACATTTATACGTGTTAATAATAAAGGTGTTTCGTGACATTTTGAAAAAATAAATTGCCATTAAATATATTTCAAACGCACAAAGTGTTTGATTTTAACAATTTACAATATTTTTTGTTTCATAATACTTTCAGGTATGGATTTGTTATTCTTTAATATTCAGGCACGGGTAATTACTAGTAGTACAATATTTTGTGTAAATGTCTTGTTACACTGTTATTGTTATACTGTTATTATTACATTGTTATGGAGTTCGAATATTAATATAATTTGAAAACAAAATCACTTTTTAAAAAAAAATACGCCCGAATCAAGGGAGAATATAAAAATATAGAATATTAAAGTACGCATGAATTAAAGACTTTTTTACCCCACATTTTTTTTTCTGTATATTTTTTTACAATTTACTCTAATTTGGTATACCCCTTCCAATTTCCCTATTTTTTTTTTTTTTTGGAAATCTTATTGGATTTAGAGATCGGCCTCTACATCCCTCTTTCTTTTTTTTTTTTTTTTTGAGGTGATAAGGTTGAAGCTCGCATTGGTTGCAAATCATAATGAGCTTTTACCTAGGTCATTCTCTCACCTCAAATACACGACATTATCATCATTTGACACAAAATGCCAAAAATAATTGAATATGTAATTGCTGAGAACTCAAAAATAATTAATGGCTTGAGAATTCATAGATATGGAAGAGTTTTGGGATGAGTTTGATCGAAATGATTGGCAGTGGAAGTTTTCATTCCAAAGTACAGAGAGTATTGATGTATAAAAATTTTAGTCCCACTCTCCAACAACTTGAGTTTTTAGAGTAAATAGTTGTTTATCAAATAGTTTCAAATATTATTTTGTACACTAAATTCAGTTTTTTGTCGTAAAATATTTATGATTTTCTGGTCATAAACTGGGATATTTTCTCTTTTATCTCATGTTTTTCCTAAAAGACTCAGACAAAGCGTTTGTGGCTCATGGGTCGGCCTCAAAAGATGGCCCATTAGATCATTTGTCGGCTCAACCTATCACATGAAGGCCCAGTAGTCTGATGGGTAAGGCACTGGGCTTTGTTTTCGGTTCTCCTCAACCCAAGGGTGTGGTCCGCTTAAGACCCATGAAGATGGCGGACTCAGCAGCCCGCCAAAAATTAGAAATATTATTCTTGATTCACGAGCGCAACGCTGTTGCTTAATTTTGATGGTGCTATGATGACATATTTTTGGATTAGTAGCTATGATTCAAACTGAACATTCTATAATGAAGAATCCGCATGATTACGTCTATAAAAAGTTACTATCTACTGGTCACCTCTCTTCCTTTTTAAACATCAAAAAATTATGGTCTAGTTGGAGGCCGACTAGGGTCAATAAGGCCTGGCCCTCGTGATGGGCATGGTCATTGACTAATGAACCAGGCTAAACCAACCCAACGAATACAAAATAAAAAAAAAAAATCTCTATTAATGACAAAGGAAAAGAGAAAAAAGAGGTAGGTGCATGTGTGAGAGTTAAAAGAAGGAGCTTGGAAAAGGGGAAGAGATTAAAAACCTCAAATGAATGTGAGAAGATGGAGAGGAGAGAGAAAAGAGGGTTGCCCAAATTGGTGGCATTCATTTAGTGAGCAAGAGAGGCAAAAAAACTATCAATAAGAAAGTTGGCAAAAGAACATTAAACAAAAAGGAAAGGAGAGAGAGCCAAGGGAGGGAGGGAGGGGAGAGTGAATTAATAAATTTTGTATTTATCATCTGTCGTAATACCATCATTATTCTCAACTGTCTCAATTACTCTTGCATTTATTTGTTTTAATTGTTTCTCAATCTAATTTCGTCCCCCTCCCCCTTTTTTTAATGCTCGAACTACCCAACCCAACACCCTCCCCCCACTTGCATTTTCTTTAATTACCTTCCCTTTTTTTTCATGATTAACCTTTTTTCACATAATAAAAATTCGTGGGTTATTATCCCCACATGTAAAAAAACTATTTCCGTTAGTCAAATCTTCGTCAGCTAAATCCATATGAAACAATCATGCTTTAGCATCAAAATCTGATCTAAACACTAGCGGAGCTATATAGGGGGAAGGGTGTGCATGGGCTCCACCCTCAATTTTTTTTTTTTAAATATTATATGTATAACTATATTTACATATTTTAGGAATTATACATATATTTTTTACATGTTCCCATCCTATAATTTTTTTACTTCAATTGTTTAATTTTTTTTATTGTATTAAAGTTTTTTTTCCCGATGACCTTATTATTATTATTTATTTATTATTTACTTATTTTTTTAATTTAAAAATAAATTTTATTGTAATTGACATTCATTTGACTTTTATTTTTTCAACAAGAACTCGTCTCTATTATTATTTAAGTATTGATTATGGTGTTTATTATGTTTCAATTGATTTTAAATTTTTTTACTATATTTAGTTCTTAAATTTTAGTGTTGTGGCTTTACTATATTAATATTTTAGTGATAATGTTTGGAAGATTATTTATCAAGTAAATTTAATAGATGATAGTTTTTTAATTACAAAAATGACAATTAGTCTCACTCTTTTACAATGGTGATAGTTAGTTAATATTTTATACATGTATAATATACATTATTTTTTTTATTTTTAATTTTTTTATGTTAAATAGATTTCATGTATCAAATGTGATATAATAAATATAAATATATTATATATTGTGATAAATTAGGAGGAAAAAAGTTAGAATGTGCAATTAAAGTGCACATCCTAAACAAAATTTCTTGCTCTACCCCCGGCCCTAAACTTTGAGAAAATATTCAATGCCATGGTGAATGACATAGTATCACTAACCAATAATAAAATTTCAAATAGGTAAAGTGAACCTCACACCTATGAAGTTATTGTCATATATAAAAAAAGAGTGAGTAGTTATTGACTTATATGAATAGTACTTATTGGCTTGTGTGAAGTCTATTTTCCTAATTGTTTAATATTATTAGTTGGTAATATCACGTGATAATACTGACACAGTATTACCGTTACAATGAATTTTTTTTCTCCTTGATTGCACATTATTGTATAAATTTCATCTATTATTGGGTGTAAAAGAGTAACATTTGAACTGTATTTTCCTAAACAAATCTTCTATTAAACTAAAGTAATGATAAAAAGTTATTTTATCTAATATCGTATTCTACGTGTTGTTTTAAGTGTTTTCACCAATATTGTCAGTCCTATCAAGGGTAAAATTAATTGAATTTGGGTTTTGGAGTGCTATTAAGAAATGTCACTAGATCCATTTGACAATACAAAACTATTTTGATCATATGTTTTTTGAATTTATTGTTTACGTATCAAGTTACCGACACACTTGCAAGTTTGTTTTTTTTTTTCTTTTTCATACATATATATATACGGTTAAGTCTGTTTTACATACAAAAAATGTGGGTGTCAAATCAAAAAATAGATCGTGATTTTATATTGGTTTATTTGTGATTCTTTAGTTTCAAAATAATAAAATATAAAAAAATTTACACGTGCTATTATTTAATTTATAAAAAAAAAAAAATATGATACCAAAAAAACTACCGTGGGACCATTCTTAAAACTGTTCTCAAGTACAAGATATACCTTTTTTGTCCCAGAGCTTTCCTAGGTTTCATGTACGATGGATTGAATTTTCTGGTAAACGACTTTTACTGTGAATTTTTCAATCTTATATTTTTTTTTTCAAATATATTTCAGTTAATTGACAAACCACTCGTCGTGATTGCTGATGTGTCGAGTTTTCATTGGATGTCACTAACATAAACCATTTAGATTGAAGGCACATAACATTACCTAACATGTTTATAAGAAAATTTGGGTAGTTGAAGTAGGCCCCATTATACATTGTCTTCTGCTAAAGAAAGAAGAAACCTTAACCCACAAACACCTCTGCTATGCCCTGATTGCCCACATCCTGAGAGAGAGAGAGAGGGGGGCATGAAGCAAACAGAAAGAGGTAGCACTATTCAAGCTCCACTCTTTTTGATCCAAAACCGCTCCGACAAAGTTCTGTTGAGTTGACTTATAAACGACCATGTTTGATCTAGCTTGGGATTAAAATGAAGCCTAAGTAGTACTACCTAAAAAGAAAAAGGGAAGGGATAACATAAACTCCTAAAACTAGTAGGATTTAGAGGTTTTTTTTTTTTTTTTTTTGGAAAAGATTTTGCCTGCTCTAGCTCTTCCTTTTCTTCTTGGTGGTGGTGGTGGTGGTGGCGGCGGAGGTGTTTTCATGGAGGAAATCGAGCAGCACTGTGCTCTTACATTTGGGGCACCTCGGGTCTTCCACCGAGAGCATCACATACATGAGGCACCGTGGACATCCCACTAGCATCATGGACGTTGCGTCAGGGCTGTTGGAGTACCGGAGGGTCTCGTCTTGGTTGAACTCCGACGACACACATGAGCTCGGCGGAGACGTTGGCGACACAGTCAATGATCGGCTCGGAGACTCGACATGAGGGTTGTTTCTTGATGGTGATAAATTCAGCTTCAAGTCCAGTTTAGGATCCTTCCCATTTCTGCGACTCATCTTTGTATCTTCCAAGAAGGCCTTTTGTTCACTCTTTGTGAAATATATCTCACCAGTCTGAATCAATACCAAAATGAACACTTTAATTCTCAATAGCTAAATTGAAATAAAACAAGAATTAAATCTTGATGTTGACAACAAATATTATATGATGATTGCTCTATCACAAGCATATAGGGTTCGATCCTATTGAGATCTCACAATGACGGGAGTTTCGTGAATCGAACTACTTTTTATGATCCAAGTCAGTAAATAGATTGATAGATATGCATACCTTGAGATTGAGAAACTTTTGCCAACCAAAGGCAAGAGGGGAAGGGTCTTCTAATTCTATGTGTGAAGAAGGGTGGTTGGTATGGAGAGATCACCGTTGACCGGGATTGCACGACGGAGAGAGGCTAGGCTCCAACTGGTGACTACAACACCATGGTCATGACCATCATTGGTAGCACCACCACTAGCATAGACTTGTTGAAGTGGTTGTTGGTTCTGAACCTCCAAGACCATTATATATAAGAGGAGTCAAGGTAGAGGGATGGGTTTGCTTTAAATCTTAATTTAATTGTGGGAAGAGGTGGAGGGTATAGAGGAGCTGTAGAGAGAGAGAGAGAGAGAGAATTGAAATGAAATGAATTGAATGGAATTGAAGGAGGCATGGTAGAAGACGAGGGATTGTAAATTTGAGGGGCAGGAAATGAATTAATTGTTGGAAAAAATCCCAAGACGGGTACAGAAAAGGGAAAAATGGAGTAAATATTGCAATTAAATCAAAGTTGCAGGAGGCTTCATTTCTTCATTCATTGCTTAGAGGGTCGCTGTGTGTGTGTGTGTGTGTGTGTGTAGAAAACCACAAAACACAAGAAATGACCAATGGCTTTTAATTCTAAACCAAATTTTCTAACAAATCCAACCAAACCCATATTGGATTTCAATGGAAATCTTAAATTCTTGATGGGCTCATACTTAATGCATATTGGTTCTGAATTTGAAATTTCAAACTTGGAATTATTATTCTAAACTTTTCTCAGTCGACAATAATTGGCACACTAATCGCCTTTATGCACCACCTTAATGTGAAATATTAAATTAATGAGTTTCAATTGACTTTATTAAATTTTCAAAAGCCAAGTGCTAGTCGGCCGTGTTTATATCATTATTGTTTCTCAGTATGCTACTTAAATCCGTACCGGCCCCTAAATTTTGAAGACCTTTCATTATTAATAAATATATTGATTGAATTTGAACGGGGAGGTTGAAAATTATTAGCATCTTGGCTACTTGAAAGGGAAAGAGATTGATATTTACTTCCAAAATGGGTGATTTTTTTACAGAAAATTTGGAAACAACTTTTTATTAGAGTAAGTTTTTTAGGTATGGTAAAGCTCATGAAAATTAACACTTATCTACTTTGTCCGTAAGCCATCTTAGGATTCTAACAAAATTGTAGTCATTTTCACATCTGGTATATTTTTATTTTTTTTCTTCGAATATCATAACTGTCGCCCTCAAATTGTTGGATAATTTTTCTGCGGCGCTTGTTAGCTTTGGATTAAAAGAAAATAAATGTGTTCTTATCAGCATGCTAGCTATAAATCCAAGTTGTTTCAAATCTACACAATTCCCATTCATAACATTACTTCAAAGGAGAAAGAAAAATGGTACAAGCAATCCTAAATGAACAATTAATTACCCGAAAAGAACCCCCAATTACTTAAAGAGGCACATCTTCTAGAGAAATGTCAAGTTTCAAGCCTATTTTCTTCATAATTAGGTACAAAAAAATCAACTTTATTTAAGACTTCAATAGGACATGTCATTAGAAGCAAATGAATACAGCGCAATAGACATGAGGTCACTCGAGGAATTTGAAAACGACTACATTCTCCACAACCATAAACACTCGTTTGCTTAGAAAGAAAAAAAATAAGAAAAGTAAAAGTGTAAAGAAAAGAAAAGAAAGTGAAAAGAAAATAAATTGTGGGTGAAAATTTTCCAAGAAAGTGTAGAGCACAAGAGGCTCAACATAACAATATCAGCTTTGTGGGTAAGGAGCCCTGCCAGCTATTCTTAGCACAGCCCTTCAACTTGACATGAAGTTGGTGGTTTTATACTTGATTTTAATGAGTTTGGCTAAAAAATATTGGGATTACTCGTTGGATCCATTTAATAGATAAATTAACACGAACTCGATTAAATGCGACTTACACGATGTAAAAACACGACACGAGACGACCCATTAACGACTCTAATAGCAGCACATTTTGTGTATTATGAGTTGAGGAAGATCCAAGTATCTTAGAAAGAAGTCAATAGCAAGAAAAATAAGCAGCAGAACCTTATGTGGTAAAGAAACAATGTACATGTACGGACAAAGAATGGCAATATGCCTGTGCATTTACCATAGTAAAAACTTGCAGCCAAGTTTTAATTAATCACGGGTGATAATCGAGTTCGAGTTCGAGTTCGAGATCGGCTCGGATAGGACTCAAATTCGACTTGTGTTGTAAACGAGTTGAGTTTGAACAATTTTTTAAGTTCGTTTAGAAAAATGAGCCTAAAAACCTCAGCTCGAATTCGTAAAATTCGACTTGTTTATGTATAAAATAATCGAGCTACCAAGGCTCGGTGAAGATTTGGTGGGACTTTAATAATTTTATAGGCTCGTTTAAAAAAACAAGCTCGGGACTCGGGCTGAATTTTATGAAACTCGACTTAATTAAAACCCCTTATCACAGTTGGGGCCCTTAAATTTTGAGTACTGTCCGGATGCTACAGGTTTTTCTGTTCTTACATCTATTGTACAGTATATTTACAATAAAGAGCCTCAGTACATGATAATATTAATAGGGGTAGTTATATTTCTCCTTCGTACAAAGTTCAAGAAGTCATGGCAAACTTCAACTTTTCAACTGTTCACTATCCTATTAATGATGTGTATATAGTGTAATTAGACACTTCAACTGTTTACCTTCACGTCTCTACCTCTCACCATAGTAAAAAATACAACCACGATTAAGTTAATCTAATTTTCATATATTTTGATTTAATAATATAAAATTTCTCATAATTTATTTTTCCGTTCAAAAATATTATGCTCCCTACACGACTCCTAGCCAGAAAATCTTACTAATTCACACTTATCTCTCTTCTCCCTCTTACCTCTATCTTATTTTTTTATTTTTCCACTTTAATTTTAAATTACATAATTAAAGTAAAAAAGAAGAAATGAATTATTATTTAAAATAAAAAAAGTTTTATGATCAATGTTTGATTTTTGGTATGACAAAGTGTCTTCAGCCACGAGTTGTTACTTAGTTTATATATCCGTTCACTAATTTTATTGATAAAATAATAAAAGAAAAGACCAAAAAAAAAAAAAAGTTATATATAGTGCACAAGACTCTCGTCCACGACAATGAATCGATATTTTTGAACTTGGAAACAAGCTAAAATTCCCTTGAAACAATGGGGGAATATTTTCGCAATAATAGAATGCATGCATTAACAATCTACAATGACCTTAGTAAAATAGACTATTCCATACCAACAAATATCATTATTATTACGAGTCGATTTTATTACAGATCTCGAGGTCTATTACCCCCGGTCCATTGATTTTGGATAAATAAGGATCCTTCTTTAAAAAGACATCTAGCATTGGCTTCCATGTTTCCTCACTTGTAGCCATCATATTTTTCATTTAATCTGGGCACCCTTTGAGTGCAGGTATGCAAAGGGAGCAAATTAATAAATGTTGTACAAATTAAAGATCATTAGGTATGCCTAATATAACAGCTGTTTAATTGATTTAGCAAGCTAAAATTAATATTCCCCAACCTTATTTGACAAAAAAATAATAAAAATCGCGAATTGTATTTAGAAAATAATACTTCTTTAATACTTTTATAAATTATATATTTTATAAATTTTTTTTTTGAAAACTAACCAAATGTAGCGTTTTAAAATTTGAAGGACACTTCGATCAGAAATTTGGAGAGAAACTCTAAATCTAGCTAGCTTAACTAATTTCTCTTTTGACTTTTGTCGAAGTTTTTTTTTTTTGGCTAAATTTGTGAAAGTTTTCTTGCATGTAAAAGGATGGTCTAGAGGCTTTGAGTTTTGAGTGTGACATCTAACCTAGAGAATAGTATGTTTTGTGTTTGTGTGTGCATGTGCTTGTTTTTTTGTTTTTTTTTTAATGTGTATGGGTGAGGAAAGGGTAGGTGGGGAGCTTAGATGGCTTAGAGGTTTTCTTTGGATATCAAGGAGGTTGTCAATCAATCGAATTATATTTGTAATTCTAATCCATTAGTGAGGTATTGATTGATTTTATTAGCTAATTATCCAAATTCAAATTCAAATTGTACGTGAATATGTTATGAAATTACTTGTCATGTGATGACATTTAGATGAATGTTTGGTTTAATTTGCCCAGTTTCAATTAGGATTCGAACAAATTTTCAACCAATTGTTTATTTTTAATGATGGATCGTGAAAAACAATTCGTCGAATTAATGGTTTGGATTCGAATAGGTAGAGATTTGGTCTAAATCTGATCTGTTGTCATTCTTACTTGTAAGTGTATGTTAGTCTTTGGTAACCAAAAAAAAAAGGGATATGAGATTCAGAAATAAGAAAAAAATAAAAGGTATTTTGGTTTCTGGTAAATACAATAAATAATTTGTTGCTTTGAGTTAATGGCATAAGTTGGTGCCTTTATAAGGGTCGGCAAAAGCTTCAATTGCAGCCATTTTGGATAAGTACTTTATACCAGCCATAACTTCATTAGTGTTGTGTTCAACGCTACTTGTGCCAAGTCAAGATTAAAAAGAAAGGTTATGTTAAGTAGTCGACAATCAACGTAAAATTTTATTAGATCCACCACAATGAGTCTAAATAATGATACATGTGCTAAAACTAAGCACATGACCGAAATAAATGACGAAGACAGACTTATATAGTCAACCCCAAACAATTGTGACATAACACTTGGTTATTTGTTTAGTTGGTTGGTACTTTATACCAGCCATTTGTGTCATAGAATGGTGTTTTCGTAATAATTGCAGGATCAGAGGGCAATTTTGGTAAGTCACATTGCTTCTCGTTTCTAATTAATTTTTTTCCTTAAAAAAAAAATTCCAAAAAAGTTACCAAGCAAGAACATCAGCTTTCGTATATATTTTGCTAATTGAAAATGTCACCGACCATCTCCTTTTTAATTAATGCTCTTGGGACTTCCTAACCTATTTTTGACTTGCAAAACCAAATAAAAAGCAGAAAACAAAAGCGATAAATTATACTTTAATCCCTTCAACTATAACACTAGTCTCATTTTGCTTCTGCTCCACGTCAAATTTGTTTCATGTTTTGAATTAAAAAATACCCACATTCATCGTAAAATACAAAATTTCATTGACTAAACTTCGGAAAATATGAAATGAGTAATCATAATTGGATTTTGTAATGTGAGAAACGTGATGGTTGACAAAATGATGTAAGACCAATAAATATTATTGGAAGAAGTGCAATGAGAGAACGTGAGATAAGGATGTAGTTGAAGAATAAAAAAATTATCCTAAAAATTGCTAAGGTTGGTGTTGGAATCAAGGACTCACTATTTATAATTAGATCTTTTACCTATACACGATAAATGTTTTAGTACTATTGAGGTGAAACGAAACGATGAGGATATCAATTCTAGTGGTGATCTCTTCAAGTAAAAATCAACATCCAACCTCTCATATTTAACTGGTTTTAAGTGAATTTTCCAAAAGTTATATAAGGTTTCTGCATGCAATTAATCTATTTGACCATGCACTGCCGGATATATATATTGATTTA